GACTGTTCTGTGATAGCGGTTTCATAGTTTGAATTTTGAGGTCTGAAATTTTTTCTTGCTTGTGAAATTAAATCTATATTATGTGTGAAATAATCTATTATAAACCATGCCAAAATTTTTTGTAAGTCATGTTTTGTATGTTGTGAAACTTCATCTTTAGTGAAATTTTCTTTAATTATATGTAGGAAAGTTGAAAATAGTGTGATTTCATGTCGTACCCTTATATGTTTGGATGTCTCTGTCGGTGAGACATTTGAGATTGGGGTTTCGTTTTCTAATATTGAAATATAACTATATATTATTGCAAAAACTTCATTAGTAAATATGGAGTTTGCTCTTTGTGAGTTATGATAATGTATGCTTTTTATATATTCTAAGAATACTTTTGAAAATTCTAAGTCAAGATCGTCTGTTTGAATTACATATCTGCGGTGATTCGGGTTTGGTGTACTGAATTCTATGGTGTAGATTCCGTATTGTTGTGTTAAATTACATATATATTTCAGATAGTGATCAATAATTTGTCTTTTGATTTTTACATCTGGGAACTCTGCTTTACATGGGCTGATTCCGGGTTCAAACAAATTTAGGAGGAAATTCTTGCAAAGATCATATTGTCCTCTATTATCGGGTGCATCTACGAGGAAGGGGTAGATATCGTCATCATCTGGACTATCTTCACTTGGAGTGTGTGTTTGGCTCATTTTTTTGTTTAATGACTGTTAATAGGTAATTATCGATGTGTCTAATTGGTTGATTCCAATTATACAAGTGTACTGGTTTGTGTTTATATTGCTTTTTTATTCTTCTTTTTCCTCTTTTTGATGAATTTGAAGTTGTTTCTGAGTCGGAAAAATATAATTGATCGTGAATGGGTCAATTTTTATCAATAGATTCTTTTAATTTATAAAGTTCGTCTAAATTGCTGGCTTCTGATTCTGAAAATGCGTTTCTAATTTTGGAAAATCTTTTTCGTGTTATTTGTCTTTGTTTTGTCATGATTTTCTTTTTTAGTGTTTGTCGTTTTGTTCTAATATATCCAACTGTTTGTGTATGAGGTGTGATTACAAGGTCGTATTTTTTGTTATCTATTTCACAGTTGTGTAAAACGATTGTTTGTTTGTTTCCTAGATTTTTAAATGACATAAGGTTTAGGATGACGGATGCAAAAAGTTGTTAGATGATTTCTATTTTCTTAAACTGTTAGTCCTTACGATTTTTTGGTTAGCTTAACCTGGGTCTATTTGTTCAGGGTTGGAGAGAAAAGTATATCGATTCCGAAGAATGATTTTTTACTTTCTCGTGGCTAGTATAAGCTAAGGTGTTAACTTACTTAATTTTACTTAGGGGTAGTGATTGTGTTCAAAGGTTGGAGAATAGTAAATCGATACACAAGGTTCAGGTATAATTAGAACGCGAGTAGTTCGTTAGATACTATTTTAAATACTAAGTCTAAGATTTATCCTGGGTCTTGATAAGAGGAGGGTTCAAGTGAAGGATGAATAACCGAAGTTCTTCACTGTTTATCTTAATTTGAATGATTAGTTTTGTTCAAAAATTTCTATTAGTGTTGGGTTTTTTGAAAGGGTTGGATAGTGAATCGACGTTTGAGGTCGTTAGACACTAGCTAAGTGGGTGGGGGAGAACAAAATTGTTCTTTTTGATCCAAAGATAGGCCTTGATGATCAAGTTTTAAATTTAATTAAATAGAAAATTAATTAAGATCCAAGGATAAGCCTTGATGATCTGATTTTAAAATTAAGTGAATTTAAGTTTAAAATGGTTTAAATTTGTTTAAGAAAAAGATTTAGTGTTTTAATGATATTAGTGAGCTTATGATTGCTGTTATGTTTTAGGTGATGAAGCTGGGACAACTGATGATTTCATGATTACTAACAGTTTATTGTCATGCTACTAATTTTTGTTTTGATTTTCAATAAATATTTTCCAAACATGTTTTATATAATACTGCAGAGTTTTTAGGAAAACGATCTGAGATCTTTTTATCAATCTTTATTGTACATTAATAGTTTTGTTTAGCGCCTGTAATGATCATGAAGATTGACTTCAAGATTTTATGTTTGTAAATGAAAATCTAAATTCATTGCTAATAAAATTCTAAATATAAAAGTTTGTGTTGGCTTTTGCCGTACTATCATATAACTATTTGGTAAGTTTCTACTTTGTCGTATGTCGTTCCTGGTTCATGGTCTTCTTCCAATTCCGGGTAGTTCTGTTATCGTTCGGAATATTGGCTCTGATCTATTGAGTCGTAGAGACATTTCGATTAAATTATCGTCGTATAACATTTTAAAAATGTTTTGTCTAAATTCTAATCTATTTTTGGTTAATTCTAAGCTATTAAGGTCTTGTTCGAGACTTATGGTCGCACCAGATGAGTTATAACCAATGGTCTTAACTCATAGAGTAATTTCGGATAGGGTACACCGTCTGCTCGTCACGCTATCTTATTTTCGGCCGGATAGATTCGTGCAACTTCTTAGTCTAATACCGATCCTAATCTTACTCTTATACTATCTAGTCTCAGGTTGTTTAACTAGTCTCTGCTAGGCTCAATAGATCTAGGGTATACTGGTTTATTGCGGCTGCTGAAGTTCTCTTGGAGAGGCAACTAATTTCTAAGTTAAATTCAAATCTCTCTGGTGCTGAAATTACAAGTAATTTCAGCACTTACAAATAAGTGGGTTGTTAGTTAGATGGATCATGATTGGTTAATATTAAATACTTTACAGTGGTAAAATATCTAATTTATCCAATCATAAAATGTAATTTACATCAGGTTCCCCTAGTTTAAAATTTATTTCAGATATGAAACGGAATTCCGTGCTATGCTCCTTCTTATTAGGGTTAATTTCAAGGTTTTTCAGGTTGCGTCATGGAGTCAGGTTGCGTCATGCCGACGACTTTTTATTGTCTCTACCGTAGATTATTTTTAGTTGAACCATAAATGAATGTTTTATTCTTTTTGTAAAAATAAAGAAATTTTTTTAAATAAAATTTTAAACAAATTATAATTTATATGAACTGGAAAGTAATGTACTTTTAACACAAAAATAACTACTTCAATTTTTGTTTTGAAAAACAAAGCCAATCAAAGGTTGAAAAAGAACGCAAGTAAACATAAAAAAACACCGATTTTATTGAAAATCTCAACTTTCAAACTTACAACTTACAAACAGAAAAAATAGATGCCCTTCGAGCTTTTTGAATTTCTGATTGTTTCTTGATTGGCGCTTCTATGGTAACGTTAACCCAACTTGAGCAAACTTGGTCAACAGATAAAGTTTATATTCCGCCATTTCCAAGATCGTGTTTGGAGCGTGCTATTCAGATGATTTTCAGCAGATGAATTTCAATTGAACTCAAAATGTGAATATCAACCATAGTGGCCTCATCAATGCATCAATATGTATGAATTCACATCTGTAGTTTTTAGAGATTTATACACCTTTTGAGAAATTTGTTTGAAAACAAAATCAGCTACATAAGAGTCTTCACTATTTATATTACTGTTAAAAAAGGAAACAAAGCGAACTTACTGTATCGTTGATCTTGGCATAAGGAGAAAATAATGAGCTCATTTATCAAAACAATAGTTACAATGAATGCACTTTGAATTTTTTTTTTGTTTTTTATTTCAAATCAGTCAATTATCTTTTTGGTTCATTTTTTCAACATTTTTGTTTTGTTTAGTCCACGTTTTACATTACTAGCAGAGTTTGCACATAGCTGGCCAATTTCTTTTCATTGTAAAACATCCATAAATTTTTCTCTTGGGTAAGAAATCATGGTCTGAGCCAAGACTCCTCCACTTAGTCCTTGTGCATCGGAAGCACACACTGGAAGCACGGAGCACGGCAAAAGACAGCCGGCACTTCACCCAGTTAATAGTTTTACTATAGGGTTTCTCCCACTTGGTAGATAAGGCTTCTCCTATTCTCCGAAGAAAACTTACAAATTCTGGAGCGAGCATCCCATCAACAGACACGACAAGAGGAAAGAAAGACATATGTCTTTCCTGACACGCGTCTGAATATTTTGTCTTTTTCTCAACCTCTGCTGAGTGCAAAACACTCATGGGGCTTCTCTTCTGATAGGAGATGGCGTCAGTGTCAGAGACACGAATATCAAAAGACGCTCCTCCCTGTCTAACATAAATTCCACGACAAAACAAATCTGCAACTAATGCAGGTGTCTCATCTTGCGGGCTCTATTCTCTAACAACAGGCTCTCTCTGTACATCCTTCCACACTAAAGAAGCTAAGTCGCCTACAGCAACCCTAATCTCCTTGTGCCGCAAAGTTAAGAGACCACCTTTTTTTGCACGCTAACGCATGCCGTAGGGTGAATGGTAACTGGCAACCATCACAAAAAATTGGCGAAGCTTTCAAGTTTTTGTTATACTGGACACTCAATGCATCCCGAAAATCCACTTCTAAAAGATCAAATTTTCTGCAGCAATCGGTAACGCTGTCAGCCATGCAGACAAGCTTCCTTCATTGATTATTTTTACTGCACGAACTTGGTCTGCTGGTAGCTCATTCAATAACTCCCCCAACAACTCTTCATGTTTTTCTTCCATTATTTGATGATGTTTTTTCCGCAATCGAGACATTTGCTTTCTGTGGTCTTCATGGGAAAAACCGTGCTGATCAACAGTAGCACCATAAGGAACCGTAACTGCTTCCCGTGACGTGTTGTAAGACTCATCAGCGATACTGGTTGGGTTAGACACTCCAAGACCTCCCTTTCTTGCTGGCAAACAAAAGAGACGTCTCTCCATTGATGAAATCGACGAAGTTCCAAGTATTTAAGAATTTCTCCATCAGAAGGTTCTCTAGCGGCTCAAAAAGCTGACTAGAACCACCCAAAGCACGATGGGAAAAATTCCATTCCGCTTGTAGGGACTTAGTCAGTCCTGATAAAGCACATTGTGGTTCTGTTTTTGCCACAAAAGAAAGTTTCCCAATTTTGTCTACCCATTCAAGTTCTTCCTTTTTCAAGTAGATGTCCTTCTTATTTCCGTCTCCAATGAAACCGTCCAAAAACCTCTTCCCTTCCACTATAGTAATCGAGTACTTGTCAAGTATGTGATGCGCTTCTTCAGCATATTGTTTATCGACAGTCAGAAGACTTTTGGAAGGCTCTGTAAAGTAACCGAACGCGGGACCTTCCTCAATAAAGTTTTTGAGCCATATCTATAATTTCTTGAGTTTTGCTATGGCCGCAGAATCATCAGCGTACCAACTTTGTAACACATTGTTCGGATCGTTTAACTTCCGAATCAGGGGAAGAAGTGAAACACCATAGAAGAACATTGCCAGTGGGTTTCCCTGTGTTGTTCCTTCCCTACTGTATATCACTCCATTGACGCCAGCAACGAAAAGCGACGCGAAACCTCTGAAAGTATTGAAGAGAAATCTAGAACATATAGGCCACAAAATTCGAGCATTCCACAACGCTATTTCACGATTGAGCGAGTTGGAAGCATTTGATGCATCCATCAACAGCATGCCACAGCCATCTTCCTTGTTGTTATCAAAATGATCAGAGAGCGCATGAATTGCACCTTCAACGCCAGCTTTAGCCCACAAGCTAAATGATCAGTCGAACATGTTTCTTCAAGGTCAATTTTTGTGAACTCAGCCACACTTTTGCAAATTCTTCTGCAAAATTATGCCTATAGGTCGCACGCCAGAACATATATCAAGCGCAATCAATCTTCCAGAAAAGAGTGCTCGCTCTTTCGACCATGGTAAGATTTGATTGCACATTTTTGTGGCGAGAGTTGCAACTTCGTCTCTCAATTGTAAACTGTGAGCCCCATGACGCAATAAAACCGTCTGCCAATGCTCAGAATCTGTTCCCGAAGCTCCCGAACTGCCCTGCAAAGAACGTGTCGTCTTTTCAATGGAAACGAACTGATTATAACATCTTCAAAGTCCGGTAAAACTGGCACTTGCAATCGCGAAGAGAGATGTGATTTGTGTGGCTCTGGACGCTTTGACTTTAAAGTCTCTAAAACGGTCACACCTTTCTTCACCTCTTGCATCGGATTAAGCACAACCCCGCTTGCTCTCTCCGAGAGCCACCGCATAGCGTTTCTCACTTTGAAAATGATTATGAAAAAAAAACGTTTGCAAAACTATCATTGAATTTTTTAATTTTTAATTACTGCATACAAACTTAATTTGAACCTTGCGTTTTTTTTGTTTTTAGGCCGGAGAAGCATAAACTGAAGCTTCAACAATTTCTTTTTTTTGCACGATATTATATTTAAAAACCGTCAATTTTATTGCTTATTAGATTTTTGCTCAACGCGCTATTTACGGACCACATCACAGTGCTCCAAACAGAATTGAGGTGAAGAATTCAGCAGCTTGCTTTCTGCGACTCAAAAAGGTTGAAAAAATTTGTTGTGAATGTTCTAAAAAAATTGATTGCCTAATTTTACTTTTTATTGGAAACTTTTCAGTTTTTTGTGTAACCTTTAATTAGAATTTTTCAATTTAAAGCGAAATGATATCACATCAAAAAGCCGTTTTTAAAAACTGTCACAGCCGAGAAACAAAAGAAAACGTTTCGTTACATGAAAATTAGCTCAACTCTTGTTGTTAAAAAACAAAGGTTGTAGCCATTGATCAAGCATGCCACAAATGGAAGTAATTTAAGATACAAGATATGCTTCTTTTCTTTAAGGACTCAAACTTCAGAAGCTCAGGCAGAAGTCTCACTCGCTAGATAATGAGCACTTTGTTTATTAATTATGACTACGAGTTATGAATACATTAACATACGTTTTGTAAGCGAACTTTCGAATATGATATTTCACTCACAGTGTATATTTCACTTTGATTTCAAAACTGTTCTACCTAAAAAAATATAATTACATTTGTAGTATAAAACAAAGTTTTCCATTCACTCATAAATATAAAATAAAGTTCATTAAAAAAATTAATTTGATAACTAAAGAACAAAACAACCTCAACTTTTAGCGCGTTAACTTTTAACTTTGGTAGTCTTCTAACTATTTTAAAGCTGAGGCAGGGAGCAGTGCAGTTGAAGTCATTCGCCAATTAATATTCAAACACCTCAGCACAAGCATCAATTCCTGAAAAATTAGATTTTTTATATTTTCCGGCCTACAATAAGATATTCAGATTTGATCAGATAATTACAAGAGTTGACCTCCATACACCGAAAATGCTTGTCTTGAAATTCCATACACCGAAAATATCAACAGTATGGAAAAGTGCTACTCATAAAATTTTCATACAATTTCAAAAAATCATTGAAAAAAAATTCGAACTAGTTTATGTGGCTATTTGAACAAAAAACATTTTGGTGATGAAAAACAAACAAGGTTTCATTTTTTGGAAAAAAAAATGGTTATCATACTGTTTCCATATATGAAAACTATACGACTAGCTTTTCCTTGGTGGCAACAACGAAAATTTTTCCTTAATATTGAAATTGCTCCAAAATTTTTATTGATTTTTTTTCAACTGCGCTTTGAATTTTGTACTTAATTAAACACTTTCCGAAAGAACCATATTGTATGCAAGTTTTTCTCTGCATAACGTAGTCCTGAATACAAAAAAAATTGATTTTTTTTCCGTTTCTCTGGATTAATTTTTTCAAACAGGCTAAATTTTCCTATTTTTTGTATGGCCTATTTATATATGCCTTGATCAATGTCAGATAACTTGAAACACCCAATTTGAAAATTAAACAATCTTGAAAATTTTTGCCTCAATTTAAAAGTTTGATGCTTTCAGTATTTGGTTTGTGAAGAGAATTGTTACAAAGTTCAGGTAATTACCAATACATTGTGAATACCAGACGATCAACCCTTTGGTGAATCTAGTTTTGAGTAAATCAGGGTTTAAGTCACTTGTGTTCGGTCACCAACCGATCCCAAGAGTTTCGAGATCCCAGTCAATTTTTTGGTTCATTAAAAAATGCGTATCCTACAATTTCCATTTATAAAAAATGCTTTTGTTAGAGTTTTCTTAACATTTTCTGTATCTATTGAATTGTACAAAACTTTATGATAATCATTTTTTCATATTCAAAAATTGTATGATAAGCAATTATAGTCAAACCGAGGAGGTAAAATCTTGTTTTTTTTTTAGCATTTTAGCAGTTTTTTGTAGAACAAGCTATTAAACAATAAAACTCACAACTTTAAAATCCGGTTACTTTGAAAGCACTCCGCTTACTTATTGTAGTAAATCAGGTTTTGAACCTTATTGAAGTTCCAAATAATATTAGAGTAAAAATATTACGTTAACATTACTTATACAATGTTTTTGTCTACCTTTCAGATACAATGGGTGATGGTAAGTGTCACCCTCCAATATCTCATTTTCAACAGTGAGGTTTAGCCCAGGAGTTGACTGGTCGCATATGAAAGTGGCAAACACTCCTTTTTCCTGTTCAAAGACACTCCTCTTTCCAACTCCCAATCCCTGTTCAGAAAACAAAATAAACTACACATTATTCGCTTTTTTCAATATCCTCTCTCTTTTCCCCTCGCTATTTCAAAGTTTTCTTAATGCTTCTGTTTTGTAGTATTTTATCTGTTATTATAGCTAAATGCGTGATGTTGCGATTTAAACTGTGATGAATCACATTTTTCTAGATTTTTCCACCATTCTAACTTCCATTGCACAAAAATTTACAAAAATGAATTACAAAACATATGAGGAACATAGAGAAGATCCATTTTTTTTCAATTCACAGATAAGAGTGGCGCATTATGGGCTTTTCGAAAGTATATCTGGAAATGGCAACTCAAATGAGAGCATAACTGAAGCAACAATTAATAGAAACACACTTACATAAATTTCACTGACAAATACTGGGTAGGTCATAGTTGGAACCAGTGTTTCTTGATTAACGGTGCAGAACTAAAATGAAAAAAAAAACAACATAGTTGATTAAAATATGACATAAAAAGAGGCCCTTTTCTTTTTTAATGCTTCTGTTTTGTAGTAGTTTTACCTGTTAATATGGCTAACTTCGTGATGAATTTTTAAATGTTCAGGGCTTTTTGCTGTGTTAAATGTAAAATTGGCTAAAATTGTGTATAGTTACAATGTAAGGTTTGAAAAACAAACTGTTCACTTTTATAAGGTTGTTCATCATACTAAATTTCATATGACAATGTTAAAATACTTCTTTCTGTTTAGAATTTCGAAAAATGATGGATTATTTATGCTCGGTTGGTTTTTTCTCCAGAGAAGGGTTGACTTTTCAACTAAAATTTTAAATTTTTTTTCGAGTTTATATTGTACTCAAGAATTGTTGTTTTTCTGAGCTCAAATCTAAAAAAATTCACCTGTGATTAATTTTTTTGTTAAATTTTGGGGTTCTAAAGATAACGAGTTTGCCCAATTTACGGCAGTTATTGCGCAATAATTTTTGTGCCAACAACAAGTAACCGGAGATTTAATCTACCTTTAAAAATGCTCCAGGCAATTTGGTCTATTTAAAATTTTGTTATAAGTGAAAAAAAAGTCATTTTGTTTTTTTTTGCATATGTTTTGAATTTATTGTCTATTCTTTTTAAATCAATTTCATTGATTTTTTTGAATCAAATGCTTGCTTCACAAATATACTAAAGCACAGTCACAACGTTCAGGGCTTTGCTCTGATATAATCATTTTTTGGTTACATTGAAATGCAAAGATGAAGGAAAAAAGGAAAAGAGCAAAAGAAGGAAATATTGTTCAGAGTGAAAATTCAATAAATAGCTAAAACATGACTGAAGGGTCGAGGCTGGGTTTGCTAAGCTGTTTAGTACACAATTAGATTCACACTTCACGATTCCCTGGACGTATTTACGTTGGATGTGCTTCTATTCGATTTTTCCGGTGTCAAAGATGCCAAAGTTAAGTCCATTTTCGACAATGTTTTTTGGAAATAAAACAAAGACAAAGATTTGAGCAATTTCAATCAAAATCCTTGAGAATGAGATCCGATTTTATTCTCGCACTTCTTGCATGAATCACGCGATATGCGGATTCCTATCTTGGCATCGGTCGAATTTCGGTCACAGGGTTTTAAGCCCTCAGCCGGTTTTTTGAGATGGCTGGTTACACTTGCAATTTCACAAAATCTCGAGTTTCTATTGGCTAAAACCTAAATGCATGACTCAGCCGTTTGATTGTACAAAGTTCCTGTGCAATTTTGTTTCCCTCCTTGGCTCTTATTTTCTTCGGAAGTCACCCCGGACGAATTTTGGACGAATAATAACGACGATAATTTTTTAAAAGCAGTGACTTGTGGGAGACCCGTCCAATGAGGGCTATCTCGAAAAGTAATCTTTCATTGCCATATTCGTTCTTTGTCGATGCTCTGCTTCAAAATTGTACGGTAGTAATTGATCGTACCACCTGGTTAAATTGATGAAAACTGTTTGTTATCTTTTCGGCTTTTCGAGTTTTTTAATGTTAACTTGGACTTGTGATCCATAATGACCAAAAAAGGTCTCTCTTAGAAAAATTTCCGGTAGTGCGCGTTGCCCAGACGACGGCCAATATCTCAATTCTTTGTTATAGTACTTGCCTTTGGCCGCTTTCAGGTACCTCGTCGCAAACGCAATAGAATGTTACCCCTCCTGGCAATGTTGTTCCAATGTTGCGCCCAGCCCATTGTGACTGCGTTACACACTTAACGTGTTTCCCTATGGATATCAAATCATTTGACTTCTTTTACATTGCAACTAATTGTTTGAGTTACTCGAACACAGTTTCACATTCGTGCGTCTAAGTGAAGTCCTTGTTTTTGGCTTAGCAGCGGCCTTAGTTCTACACTCAGTAAGGCAACGGTTGGCAGACTATACAAAAGCCCCACTAGGGGTTTCAATTTTTTCCTCGTAGGCGGCGATTTTTACTGGTCTATCTCTTTCGTTTTTTGCATTAAAGAAGTATTACTGGTAATTCTTACTTAAAAAACTAGCCTATGGCGGCTAGATTACGAATATTCACATTTTCAGAGGTTAAGCAAGGCATTCGCTAAGTTAATCTTCTTCAGGAAATTCTCGCTCGGTGCTATATGATTGAATTTGGTTAATTTGAAAACTAAGAAAATACCTGCGATAAATGCATGTGCTTGCAAAAAGTTTTTCGTGAGAGTGTCCGTCACTTTTTGGAACTCTGTGGGCATTAAAATCATTCTGTAAAAACCGGTTTTGATAGAATTTTCCGCCTACTATTTAAAATTTACACTGTTCGCTTGTTTTTGTTTCCAGCCATACACTTCTGCAAGCGTACGTAAAGTTGAGCGTTCTAAAATAGACTTCACTTTCTTTTCCCTCTGAGGTTATTTATTTTATTCCTTCAATTAAATCATCTACACTAGGCATTTGTTATTTGTTTTTATATACCGGTTTCATTTATTCACCCAATTCTTGTGCCAACTCTGTCCTTCCGTCTTTTTCAGCTGTAATTACTATTGGGGAAACTAAACTTTTTTCCTTTCCGATCACTCATCAAATTTTTCGACTTTTCCATCCTCCCTCCTAAATTAGTCGCGTGATTTCCTCTTCTATTTTATCTTTAGGCTTATGGACAGCCTACGGTATTTTTTGCACCGGTTTTAAAACGTCAGAGAAATCTGCCCGTACCTTGGCATTACGCATCTGTCCTATTATTGAAAATAAATTTGAGAACAACTTATGGAATGTGACTGTCAGGGATTCCATTTAGCCGCGCCCCAGGATTAATTAGTGGTCCCGTGGGATGACCAATATCTCATAACTCATCCGTTCAATTCAATTGTAACTTCTGCCTTTCCGAGTATAAGAACTCTCCGATTTGTTGCTATAATCTAAGATTTTTTCCTTTTCTGGGAGTAGATACAATTTCGCCCTGGCCGCGGCGCGATTTAACACAGGTGAGCTGATATCGTTTCGGGGAATCAGCGATCAACCCACATGCCTTTTCCCTATACATTCGCCGAGACTATCACCACATATTCGTTCAATCCCGTGGACGATTTGCTTTCCCTTTCATCTTCTTGGTTCACACATCCGACCTGCTGGTCAAGGTACTGCATAATTTCTGTGTTCTTCCTGCAAAGTTCCAATTTGCCCTCTTCCACTCCACTGGTTACCTCCTCTACGGGTTCCGCGACATGTCTTCTCATAGTGGCCATATTTTTGAAAAGCATTGCAAATTGCAAACTTTTCGGTGGACACCAAATGATATGATCTGGCGTAAAGTTTAGGCGTCAGAATTGTATCATTTCCGTGTATATGTCCACTGGGTCAGTTCCACTGTCAAATGGGTACATGTCAAAGTCATCAAACGAGTTTTGGGCCAAAAGTCGAGGAAAAATGGGGATTTTTGATCACATTTTTTACCGACTTTCAGATTTGACCTTGTGATAAACGTCAGTATAAAAGATTTTTTTTGTACAGTAAATTCAATTTTTTTACTACATTTTTGAACATTTTTCTCGGGTAATCAAGGTAGTATCTTTCAAGGTAGTATCTCTCAGTCTCTTTATAGAACTTCGTCCAATTGAACTGCCTGTTAGCTGAACTGTCACTCAGCGTGTTGTCTGTTTTCGAGATAAAAAAGTAAGCTGCCTGCTTCAAAAAATTTTTTGAATACTTTTTACTGTACTATTTACTATGTGATTTATGTTTTTGTACTAATTTGTACTGTTTGGATTTCACATAATGTTCAAGACTCCGCAAATTGTGTTGCGTACCCACAAGTTTTGTCGCGGACTCTAGAAAGTATCCTGTTTTTGGAGTAATACAATGATTTAGCTATGCCTCCATGGAATCCAAAACAGCAAAGAAGATCGAAGAAAAATAGCAAGGTTGCGGATTTCGTAAGAAATCTGTGTTTGTCTTGATACCAAATCCGCTATCAATTCACAAATTGCCCAGTTGGGTACGTAATGACAGAATGAATATTAAATCAAACACGATTTCTGCAAAATTATAAACTTTTTGCCAAAATGTGCGTAATTTCAACAATTAAAATACTCACTGATCCAACCGCGGCTCCCATAGGATAAACGTTTTTTTCGAAAGATACGGAAGACCACAGCTTTCTTAGCGTTCCGTGTCCCGCAAGGTAGAAAATTAAATATGTATCCACCAACGTCCGTATAGAGCGCTGTTTGAGCGAAAGTCTCCGTATTGAATTTGAAGGTCTGAGCAAAAAACAAACAAACATTAGTGTGCAAAACTTCATGAACGCAAATTTAACGTTCAGTTCTATGAACAATCAGTTTTCAAAACCCATTTTGGAATACACCCGTTTCAAGAAGAATCGATTATAGTTGATTAAAATTGGATTATAATGCTACTATTTTTCGAAACAAAAAAAAACATTATAATTGATTTTCATTGATTATAATCAATCATTTAAAAAATAAATCTCAAATTTCATTGAATTATGATCCATTTTTATTGATTATAATACATTTTAATCTATATACATCTAACTAAGTTGTTCCACCCTCCCCCATTTTTTACCCCGCCAAGTTTAGTAAACGGGGTTTTTTTTAACTAAGATAGGGGGGGGGGGGGTGGGGTAAACAGGGGTTCCGTAGCTCTCTTAGCGTACCGTAGCCCGCAAGATACAAAATTAAACATATCTCCACCAACGCTCTTAGAGAGCGCCGTTTGAGCTAAAGTCTCCGTTTTGAGTTTGAGGGTCTGAGCAAAAACAAACAAACATTAGTGTGCAAAACTTCTTGAACGCAATTTTAGCTTCAGTTCCATAAACAGTCAATTTTCAAAACACATTTTGGAATACACCAGTTTCAAGATGAATCGATTATAACTGATTAAAAATGGATTATAATGCTACGAGTTTCCGAAAAAAAAACATTATATTTGATTATAATTGATTAAAATCGATTATTTTTTTAAAACAAATTCTCAAGTTTCATTGAATTATAATCCATTTTTATCGATTTTAAAACATTTTAATCGATAATAATTCATTGTTTTTCAATAAACGCTTTTTGTGGGCTGACGCCTTTTTTCAGGGATTCGACCCCCTGCCTACCCAAAGGGTTCCCCCTTTGTCCTTTTTCTTCAAAAAATTGCCTGCAGCGCACAAAATTTGGCCAAAACAGGGCTTTTAAGTTCTTTCGGAGAGCTTGGAAAAACAATTTGGTCGAGCTAAGAGAAGGTCGATAAAAATTTTGGAAGTTTTTTAAAAGCCATAAAAATTTAAACATCTAAAATTGGCATTCATAATTAAGTATATTTTTGCTGAAAGTTTGATTATAATAATCATATAATTGATTATTTTCTCTTTTTACTGAGCGGGGGCGGGCAATTACTTGGAAATTCAAAAAAAACAACCGCACCGGAGTTCCATGGTTAATAATCGATTATAATGGAAAAATTTTTTCCAAAATATTGTCTTTATAACCAATTATTTAGACCACAAAATCGATTATATTGTCATTATAATCGGTTGTTTTCGTAAAAACATAATCCATCAAAATCCATTATAATGGATTATAATCCATTTAAAATCTATTAAAATTGATTATAACGGAATATTCTGCAATCATTTGCAACACTTTTTGCGTTACTTACGGCCTACTCGAAATCTAAACCTACTCGAATTAACCATACCCCCCCACCCACTTTGACCCCATGCACATTTGCCCAAACATCCTTCCCCCACTCCCCTAAGTTTATCTCTACGCCCACCCCCACATTAACTAAAGTTTAACCCCAACCCCCCCCCCCCCCACAAGTTTCAATTTACATCCCCCACCACCACCCAGTTTATTTACCATTTTGAACGGGGACGGAGGAGGAACGTTACTCAGTTGGGATCTTTTTCCTTTTCCCCCCACCTCACTAAACATGAAATTTATGGTCTAACGAGTGGTCTTACAAGGTTGATTATGGAGACCAAAAATGTTTGTCATAGCCTAATTAGTCTTCATGCAATTCGGACAAATTGAACAGTAACTTCAAATATAAAAATTTGCAGATGGGGGGAAGGAAAAGGAGCCCTCATTTTTTACCCTGCCACGTTTAGTAAACGGGGGGTTTTAAACAAAGATGGGGGGGGGTAAAATGAGGAGGGGTAAACAGGTGTTCCGTAGCTCTCTTAGCGTTCCGTAGCCCGCAAGGTACAAAGTTAATTTTGTCTCCACCAACGTCCGTAGAGAGCGCCGTTTGAGCGAAAGTCCCGGTATTAAAATTGAAGGTCTGAGCAAAAACAAACAAACACTAGTGTGGGGGGGGGGGGGATAAACAGGGAGGAGTTAAACCGGGTATATAAGACAAAAATATAGAAATTGAAAAGTGAAATGAAACATTTTATGAAACCTAATACGGAGCAACTGCACTAAACAGGAAATGCGATAATTTGAAAAAAAAAGTTGTAAATTTCATGACCAACCTCTCAAAAAAATCAATTATAATTGATTATAACCGATTAAAGGTTTGAGTTGGCATAAAAAAGATAAGAAATCTAATCCATTTTCGATGGATTATAATCGATTATAATCGATTATAATCGATTATAATCGATTATAAGGGATTATATTGATATGAAAAATACTACAATTATAATCCATTTTTGATGGATTATAATCATTATTTTTGTAATTTTATAGATACTGGCTATGAAATGACAATACAATCGATTATTATCTATGGAACTCCAGTGCGGGCAAGTAGGTCAACCGAGAGCAAATAATCTCAGCTACGCTTCTATGAACTTCAAAATTTGATCTCAAAAGGAAAAAGCCATCTTTTATGAGCTCTCCCCCACCTGCAAAAGTTGGCTCTTTTTCTTTTCCCCCCACATGTAAACTTTTACAGGTAAATTTGTTGACCACAGTGTCCAATTGGCCTCTTTTCCAGTTTCCCCTTTCAAAATAGCGAGTTCTATGTTTGTATTACGGCTAAATGCGTGATGTTGCGCTGTAAAGTTTCAAAAACAAATCTGTTCACAGTTGTCGATTTGTTCATCACGCCAAATTTCATTGCAATATGGCAACGTTAATTAAGCTTTTCAAAAATGAATTTGAAAGGGCGGAAACTGGAAAAAGCCTTCGATTGCTATGAAAATTTACATACAGACTAATAAGGCCACGAAAAACATATTTGGTATTCCTACTCAACCTCGTGAAACCACTCGTTACACTAATATATTGAAGCTCGTGTGAGATGGAGGGGAAGGAAAACGAGCCCAAAATTTTATTTCCACATTTGTCTTATTATTATAAAATTTGGCATGCGGACTAACTTGGCCATGACAAACGTAATTGATCTTCTGAAAAGTTCTTGTAAAACCCTTGTTTCACCATACAATTGACTCTCGTGTTGAGTGGGGGAAAGCATAAACAGCGCTTTCAGTCTCTAACTGTCAATTTAAACTATGTTTTTAACAATTTTATCAATGTTCATATTTTTCCAGCAGCATGAGGTTTTTTCGGCAAACCTGTCAAAAGCAACTTGATTTGAAATTTTCTCAGTAATCCTTTTCGGGTCGCTTATTTGTTCTATTAGTTACCAATTGAGAAGAGGATGCACCAGTTTTTTGAGAGCTAATTTTTAGCTAAGTTTTTGTTGAGCCTCGCACAAACATCTATTTAGTGATGTATGAACAAGTAGTTTTACAAGGTTAAAAACGTGGGCTAAATTTGGCTTATATAGCAGTTTTTCATGGCTTAATTAGTCTGCATGACAGCTTTCATAGGCAATTTGACAAACAAAAGTAGATTCTTTTCCAGTTCCCTCATGCTTTTTTTTTTAAAATTCATTATATAAAAATCTTCCTAAAACGACTTTTCATGTTATAAACTGCATTAGAACATGTCAGCATGATTAGGTGAACAAATTTTTACAAACTTTTTCACATGCAAATTGTCGTGAGAACAATTTTTTATTTTGTTTTACGAGGAGGGGTTATGATACTACTGGTTAAGATCAGCAGGTGGGAGTGCCCCAGTTTTTGGCAGATTTTTAGGGAATTTTTGGCTGTTTTTTAATTACTTGCCTCCTTCAAGTTTAACTGCCAGATATTTTTGCCTCCTTTTTGAATTATAATGCGACATTTCGACCAGTCTAATTGGCAGCCGTACTCGGTTGAAAACACTGTCCGAAACGTCACGAAAAACGACAAAAGCATCCTCAAAAAAGTCAT